ATCAACCCCTCTGTCTTGGATTTACCCTCGGGGAAACAGAGGCTTAGAGACCCAGCTCTGGTCAGGCAGTGAACGAGGGTAGGGGTCCGAGACCCCATCGACTCCTTCCCAGATGGGACATCTGTCTAGGTTGGCCCACCCTCTCTCAGACCACGACTCGCAGGCTTAGAGAACCCCCGTGGGGGACTCTCAGAGGGGTGTGGGGCAAGGACTGTCCCAGGCAGAGGGCAGGCAGCCCGCATCCCATCCGGCCCCACTGGACTTGGTTGGTATCTTGAATAACTCACTTCAGCCTCTGAAGCTGGTTTTCCAGAGGCAAGGAAGGCACCTAGCGTGCGTACAGCCGGAAGCCATTGTTATCGTTCAACATCCAGCGCTCCACGCCAGTCCTTTCCTAGTTTCTTGTGGCTGACAATCGTAAACCAGAACAGACTGGATTTTTTAAAATGGACAAAGTGTTATGCTACCGGAACGGGAAATGTTAGGGGTTGCAGCCCTGGAGTGGGAGACACAGAGAGGGGTAGTGAGTACGTGTAGGAGGAGCCTGGTGCCAGGCTACTCGATGATTGGCAGGACTGTGAAGCATGCCGCATTCTGAGGGGTACAGTCTCGCCCTGCCCCATCTTTGAGCTGGGCGCCCTTGCTTCCGACTCTGCTGGGCAAGAGATTTGGTTGCTCTGCTACATGCATGCATGCACAGGGGAGATCAGGTTTCCAGCGGGATGTCAACCCTTCAATTTTCTCATGACAGTTACTGTTCTGGTTGACCCGGCTTTTACAAATCAGGATCTGGTCCAGTTTTGCGTTGTCAGCATGACTGAACCAGGAAGAACTGGGTTAGTACCCCACAGCCTTGATGGGTCTTCGAGGACTCCCTCCCCTCCAGTTCTGGCTAGAGAAGGTTCTGGGAGCTAACAGTGAGTGTCACCTTTGGTGCCTCTTATACACTCCCCTTCTCCACACTCACTAAGGCTCTCAGTGTAGCCCCAACTGGACCCCGCACCCCCACCCCAGCTGAGCCCTTGAGGGGCTTGGTATGAGCTGTCCTCCGTGCCCTTGGGGGTCCCATGCCCAGCTCTCTGTCCTTAATGCTGGCAGAACGTAGCCCTTGGCAGTTCTTCACCCCTACCCCGCCCGCCCCTGGAGTAAGTTCCAGGCCTCAGAGACAGCTGCCAGGCAGCGGCTCCTGGGCCGTGGAGTGGACGGGCCTCTTCAAAGGCAGTCTTTGTTTCAGGTTCCAGTGCTAGCTCAGGGAAACTTAAGCCAACAACCTCAGGCGAGGGGGTGGGGCGGCGTCTACCGGTTGTTAGCGTGGCTGCTGTGAGCATGATTGTCATCGTTGAAGTGTTCCCAGTGGGTGACTTTTCATGAACGGAAGGAAGTGTTGCTTCCTTCCCATCACACCAAGGGTGAGCAGGGCAGAGCTGGGGGCCCAGGCCTGCCAGCCGTAGAGAGGGGTGTGTCTCTCAGGCCCCTGTTCAAGTGGGCACTCAGTGGCCCCGCAGGCTGTGTGACCCTCAGCCAGTCGCAGCCCCTCTCTGGGCATGAGGGGTCTCTCATTCAGCCTCCTTACTCCAATGTTCACCGGGCATCTGCTCTGTGCACTGCCCTGTTTGGGGCAGTGATAGTCAACCAGTCAGGCAGACTTCCGATCTCACAGGGCATGGGGAGGCGGAGGGGGTGGGGGGGACATGTGCACCCATTTTCAGCTTGGTTCATAGGGACACTGTGTTTCTGGCTTAGAATATTGGACCCACCAAGTCTAGCGCCCTCATCATACAAAGGGAGACACTGAGGTACTGAAGCAGGGAATGACGGACGCAGATGTGGCTGGCCTGCTACCCCACCTCCCACCCTGCCCATTCCAACTGACTTCAGAGCGCCGCCTGGCTGGGCAGGGGCCGGTCTAGAGCCCGGAGGACTTCCTAATCCCTGGGAAAACTGCGGTTAGATTCCTCTCTCTTGCCTGGTCCAGAGTGGAGTGCAGGTGTGTTGAGACCCCAACAATGGCACACCACAACCCCAGATGGAAGAAGTCCGTGTGTGAATGGCATTACTTTGGAAAGCAGAGGTTTTCTTTTCCTTTCATTTGGACACCCCCACTCCCACCCCTACAAGGAGAGCATCTGGGGTCTTGGGTCGGAAGATAAAGACTTGTAGTAGGATGGCCACTCGGTGGCTAGTGGGCTGCGACAGCCCTGCGGGGGCTAGTGGCATTCTCTTCTATGGGCTGGGTGAGGCTGGGAGACTGGGATGGCCAGTCCCTAAGATCCCTCCTACCCTGGCAGAGCCAGGGTGGGGGTGAGAGGGGTAGGCACCGAACCCAGAAGGTGTGGGAGCTGGGCAGATAGTGAGTGGGCTCACTCATCACCCCCGGCAGTGGGTTTCAACCGAGTTGTTAGCGGAACTCTTCATTTTTTCAGATGAAGATTTCAGTGGAAGGTGGCTCTGTGGAAGACCAGAGGATGGAGGGATGAGGGCCGCCTGGGGCAGGTCCCAGGGCTCACTGGAGACTGTAGGCAGGCAGGCTGCAGAAGTGGGGCCTGAGGCTCGGGCCTTGAAGCCCTGCCTGGACCAGCGCTGGCCTTGCGTGTGGCAGAGAACACAGAGGCTGAGTTCATTTGGGGACTTGGCTGCATGCACAGAGAGAGTGTTTCCCTTGGTGACCCAAGGCTGGAGCGCGAATCCCTTTCCCATCTGGGGTTAAACAGCTCACACTAGGTGACCTCCTTCCCAGGTAACCCGAGTGCCAGCTCCAGGACCTTCTCCCTCAGCCTGGCCCCTGCAGAACCCACAAACTCCAAAATGGGATGGGAAGGGGCAGGGCCCCAGAGGATGAAGAACTTTAACTTCTGATGCCTGGGCCCCACCCAGGACCTAAAATCAGATCCATCCTCTGGGGGTCAGGTCCTGGCATCAGGGTTTTTAAATCTTCCCTCTTCAAACCACCTTCTAGTCCCCGTCCCGTCCCCTGCCCCCCAACCAAGCACAGTGGTTACTCCTTGGGCTGCTAACCGCCAGGTTAGCAGTTTGAAACCACCAGGCACACCGAAGAACAAAGATGAGATTTTCTACTCCCATAAAGGGATACAGTCTTGGAAACTCACAGGAGGAGTTCTACTGTGTCCTACAGGGTCGCTATGAGTTGGCATTGGCTGGCAGCAGTAGGTTTTTTAATTTTTTAGGCCTAGGGAGACAGTGACTTGCCAGGGACACACAGACAGCTTATAGTAGGGCTAGAAGCCCCCAAGCACCCTCAGAAAGAGGTGAGGTGAGCCCCTGGGTGCTGAGGACTAAAGCTCAGAGAAAAGAAGAGCCTAAAAGGAGGCTGACAAGGGGCTGAGGGGGGCAGGGGAGGGTCTGTGTGCTGAGGGCCTGGTGGACCTCAGTGCTTCATAGACCTTTAGCGAGGGTCTCCAGGGCCCTTCTCTCCCATCTCACAGAAGGGAAGACTGAGGCTCAGAGCCAGGAACTCAGGCTTTCTGGAGGCTGGCGGCCCCTGGATTGTCAGCAGCCAAGCTGACGGAGTGACTTTTTTATCGAGTGAGCATTGACTCCTCTTCTATGCCTAGTTGCACTTTTTAAGATTTTGCAAATGCTGCTCATGTTTCCCTGGTCTCCCTCTCTGACTCAGGTGTCCCCCTGTTTCCAATGGGATTTCCCCTGAGACTAAGTGAGAAGAGGCGCCTGAGAGACTAGAGGACACCCACAAAGTGAGGGTCCCTCATCAACTCGGAAAGGGGGTGCCAAATTCCAGCAGTCCCAGCCCCTAGACCTGCCAGCCCAGCAGGTGGGGCCTGTCTATGGACCTGAGATTTCTGATCACTCTGGATCAAAGGGAATCCTCACAGGCTCCAGCAGCAAGGATTTCCTGTGCTGCAGTAAATGAGGAATACGGAAAGGTAGTCTATATTAGAATTCCAAGAGACCTGGGCTCCTAGTCCCAGACAGCCTGCCGCATGTCCCCAGGCAAGTTCCCACTGTGCTGGCCGCTCCACGTGTGGTAGTTTGTTTATCTATTTTCTGGAGGTGTTGCATTTTGCACTCACCGGTCCCCTCCAGTGGAATGGAGCTTGGGGCTCTCCTGCCTGCAGTGCAGGGCGGGCGTGAGGCTCCTTTTCTCTGCCTTCCCTGGCACTTGTGGGGGCACAAAGGAGCCACACCCACAGGCACCCACAGTTTGGGCAGCAAGGGAGACAGAGCAGCAGGCAGGAGCAGGCACACTGCACTGGGCGGGGATCGGAGGTGTCAGTTAGCGGAGACCTGAAGGGTCCCCAGGACCCCTGGCCAGGTGAGGGAAGAATGGAACCCAATTCAAACTGATCCCAGTGCCATCAGTTCCTACCGAAAGTGATCCTGCATGGCTATCCACCCTTTTGGAAGCAGACAGCCTCCTCTTCCTCCCTGCCCGGGAACAGCTAAGCTCTGATGACCACTGTGTCGGTGGCAGACTCCACAACCACGCAAGCCCAGAGTCCGACTCCAGTGACCCTGTTGGACTGAGAACTGCTGTGTCCTAGGCGGGCAGTCTTTATGGCTGCAGACCGCTTCCTCTGTCGCCCTAAGAGTGGGTTTCAACCACCTGCCACCTTTCTGTGCCCTGCCAAGCCCGTTAGCCCCTGTCCCTGCGGGCTCCTCGAGCGGGCAGCACCCCTGGTTAGATGGAGGGGCTGCAGGAAAAGGAACTTGGACATGCTACAGGCTTTGGAACACGGAGCCTGGCTGCCCCTCCTCTAACCCGACCCTGAGGGTGTTGGGGGTGTGGGGAGACAAGAGGTTGCCCTGAAGCCTGTGGAGACGAGGGTCTAGGATGGGCTGGAGGGGAGGAGGAGGGGGAGGGGGTCACTAGCCAGGGTGACCCTGGGGACGGGCAGAGGAGATGCAGCAGGTGAGAAGAAGGCCCCCCTTTCTCCTTAGGACCCCTCCTCAGCATCCTCCCTCCCACCCGTGTCTCACCCACATGCTCTCCCTCTCCCCCCTTCCCCCCACAGAGCCCCCAGTCACAGAGAAAAGGAATCCACCAGAGGAAGACGACCCCCGAGACCCATCTGTGTCCCCTCAGCCCCACAATGAGCAGAGTAGGAACCAGAGCCCCACGCAGCCAGAGGTGAGTGGGGCACGCTCCCTCAAGGCCCTCCTGCCTCAGCCCGGGAACTGGGAGACCCCTCCCCACCCCAGGTCTCAGAAAGGAGCTGGAAGTGCACCTCTGACATCTCCCCCATCCCTCAGCTCCACCAGAGGGGCCACCTGCTGGAGGTGCAACTTTGGGGGTGAGGGGATGGGAGAGAACGGGCCATCGGGGGCAGCAGGCCTCAAATGACCTTCTTCTAATGAAGAGTCACATGCAGCCCCAAACTCTAAAGCAGGTGAGCCCTATTCTGGGCCGTGCAGACGGGGTCCAGTGGCACAGAGCTAGAGTACTCAGTGGCTGTTAATGAAAGGTTGCCCGCTCTCACCTGGCAGCCGCTCTGAGGGCGAGAGGCGTGCCGCCTGCTCCGGTAAAGACTGCCCGCCGTCTTGGAAACACGCGGGGACAGTTCTGCAAGGGTATGGCGTACAGCTACTAACGAAATCTGTAACCACGACGTCGATAGCCACTCCGCCACTGGACCGGGAGCTGTGGATGGTGTTAACGAAGCTCCATCCGAGCGTGGTGGCCCCAGTCCAGAGCCCAAACCCTGATCCGGAGAGAATCCAGTGGCAAACGTAACACCCTGTAACGCTCTTTGAGCCCCTGGGTGACGAGGGGCCCATTCCCTGGAAGTGCAGTCCTGAGGACGGCCAGAGGCCAGAGGCCTTGGTCGCTCCGGTAAGAGGGCAGGCGACTGCATCCCTGTCACCTGTGAGTCCCCGTCAAAACCAAACTCACTGCTGACTCATCCCGACTTTATAGCATAGGGTAGAACTGCCCATCAGAGTTTCCAAGACTGAAACTCTTTACAAGAGTAGAAAGCCCCGTCTTTCTCCTGCCGAGCAGCTGGTGATTTCGAACGACTGACCTGGATGATGGCAGCCCAGTGCGGAACCACTAGGCCACTAGGGCTCCCTGAGGCACCGTCAGAGTTGTTAAAAACCCTGTAGTGGTGTTCAAATGAAATATCTCTCGGACACACGGCATGGGGCACTGCCCAGGTGGGGGTTGATAGCCTCTGGGGTCTTGGATGTATCTGTTCTCAGACCGTGAGCCTCAAGGCTGCTGGTCCTGGCCCTCCAGCTGCCCTGGTCTGCACACTATGGTTAGCCAAGGTGAACAGCAGCCTCTGCGGCCAGACCAGAAGTCCAGTGCATCTGAGAGAAGCACCCAGAGCAGAGTCTCAGCTCCCTGGGTCGGCAGGGCAGCCTTGTGGCTGGAGAGGCAGCCCCTGGCTCAGAGGGTGCTGGGTCCCCACGTTCCTCCAGCTTTTACTGCCAGGGCTGTGAGAGGCCTGGGGCACCCTGCCATCCCAGAGGAGCTAAGATGCAGCCACAGAAAAGTCAAGAGTGAGATGAAGCCATGACCTGTGTCGGTAGTGGGCCTGGAGATGGTACAGACAGCTGCATCTGTGACCGCCCCTCTGGGTCGAGGGGCCTTGTCTCTGGAAGTCCTTGGCTCAGGCCCCTTCCTGGGCCCTTGGATACTGGTAGCTGACTAGGCCTCTCTGGCCGCAGGAACAGCCATTGCAGCTCAGAGTAATAGGCTGGGGGCTGGGAGCCAGGCACTGCTTTCCTCCCTGCCTCTCCTCCTGTTGGGGGTCCATCCCAATGCCTGCTGTTCTTTCCCCAGGACTCCCCTGAGGCAGGCGGGGAGCGGGAGGAGGAGCAGGCCTTCCTGGTCAGCCTCTACAAGTTCATGAAGGAGCGACACACGCCCATCGAGCGGGTGCCCCATCTCGGCTTCAAGCAGAGTGCGTCCTGGGCCGGGCCGCAGGGAGGGTGGGCCCGGCAGGGAATGCCCACAGGCAGGGCACCCAGGTAGAGCCGGCCCAGGAGTTGGGTTGGCACCTCCACTCTGGTGCCCGGGACACTGCCCACCCGGGCACAGTGTTGGCCAAGGGGCAGGGCTGGCCTTCCACCTTCCTGGCCCTGGGCCACCGTTGCCCAGGACGCAGCTTGCCGCCCACAGCCGTGGCCTGGCCTGCGTGTGCTGGTCTCTGGTCTCTGTTCTCTGCTGGCTGCCACTTCCTGCCAGTCTGACAGCCTGCCTGCCCTCTCTTCTCTCCAGTTAACCTGTGGAAGATCTACAAGGCGGTGGAGAAGCTGGGGGCCTATGAGCTGGTAAGAAAGACACTGCTGGGTCCACCGTGCTGCATGTCAGACCTACACTGCCTGGGACATGGGGTTGCAGGGGGTGAGGGGCATGGTGCTGCAGGGGGTGAGGGATACGGGGCTGCAGGGGGTGACTGCTCTGCGTGTCAGACCCACACTGCCTAGGACACAGGGCTGTTTGGGGAACAGCCGGCCAGGGGGCAGCAGGCAGACTGAGCCTTAGGGAGGGGCCAGACTCTGGTCCCTGAACTCCCCACCCAGAGCCCAGACCAGCTCTCGGCTTGCTAGTGCTTTGCTGCTCTCAGCAGCTTCGCCTCGGCTCCCCCATCTGTTCTGTACACCCCGTGCCCCCAAAGCTGCTTGGGCTAGCAGTCGGGCAGCAGCTCCGGTGGGGTGAACTGGCCCGCCGCCAGGCAGGCTCCCCCGCCCCTCGCCCGCCCCTGCTGTCAGAGAAGCAGCTGCGAATGCTGGTGTCCCCGCCTTTGCCGCATCTCACCCCAAGGCCCTGGGGCGACCTACAATGGGGAGACTCTGCCCCCTGGGGGCGCTGCTGGCCAGGCTGCTCACTAGCACCTTTGCAGGTAACGGGCCGCCGCCTCTGGAAGAACGTGTACGACGAGCTGGGGGGCAGCCCTGGCAGCACCAGCGCGGCCACGTGCACGCGCCGCCACTACGAGAGG